GTCTTGCATACTTTATGTGCCTATCTGCTACACTAATCCGCAAGTATGCTAATATCGGCGACATTTTACTATGTGTGAGTTGTGCTTTTGTTTAAATATTCGTTGGACACTGCAGAAGCAAGTTGTCGACACGTCACATCCAGTCCCTGCTTAAAAAGAATTGATGGCATTTACATAAACGTCAGCAGAATAACGCCTATCAAATTGGCTGGCAGAGAGTGGACGTTATGCCTGTGAACCTGGCCCCGTAAGCCAGGACTCAAATTTTGTGATGGATTTAAGAGGCACCCACATACGGGGTCTACGGGGAGTCGAAATTTGACCGGAATGCTTACTTCTATATAATCATACAAGTGGACAATGCGATTGCTAGAACAAGAAGTTTATTTGCCCGATGTTTCGGATTCTGTCGAGAATCCTTATGTATGGGTACTCGTAAATAGAAGAGAGTAGTATTAAAATTTTACATTAATTAACGACAAGAAGTGCGATAATTTTAGAAAAAACATATAATACATCAAATTAAATAAAGTTAATGCATTATTAAAAGGATAAATTCAAAAAAAATAAATGGCAATCACCACCGCTTACCTATTACAGAATTTTGTGGTTTCTGGTTTTGATGATGATGCGCATAATAGCTTTTTATTGTTATATGTATCCAATTTAGCGCCTCGTGAGAAATAATATTAGTTCATCGGATAGCTTCTCCTTTATTTTTAACAAGCTATGTAATCACGCCACCGAAGATAGTATATTTGCAAGGTTCGCGGGATGGGTTTGGTTTTTAAAGAATGCCAAATACCTTATCCTACTCAAAGTTGATTAGGTGATTTTCAACACGATTGCCAGGCATTTGTATCTTTAATTGTGGTGACTGAGAGTAGAGCGAGAAAGATACGCTTTTTCTATTTAGCATATAACTGAGGATAGGATCCAAATTGCGTATTCACCTATTTTAACGCCCCAAGTTTGGAATTGTGCTAGTTGGATTATACAGAAACTTACGACTGATTTAAGTTGCGCATGATCATTTTTAACTTAACATGTTCGTGTATCGTTATTTTGCATCAGTTTAAGTGGCCCTGTGCTGTGTGCAAGCTAACATCTATAAGTAAGCATACAAAAGCAAGCGATATACATTTTGTTCTGTTATCCCTAAACTAAATGGTAATACAGCAATACACACGTTCCCTTCATCTGCATTCCTGAACGCTCGTAAGTAAAGGAGTTTCCCTATTCACCATCCTGTCCATCAGTCGTTGCACTTAGCAGCTTTACGTGTTTCAACTAATTACACTATGGAGTTTGCCTTATAAAAAATCCGTAGATTTGCAAGGAACATTTCGAAATGCTATTAGGTTTATTTGCTACGCAGAACTGGTTTCATCCAATAAAGGTAGGCCGACCACCTCAAAGCCTGTCATATCCCAGAAACATGCAATTTGACGGCTGCCTCAGCTGAGCATTTAGGTCGATCTATTTTAGCATGTGGATATCTCCTCCTGCAGAGAAGATTTTAAATTATTTGGAGGGTGCTGTATTTCTCTGACCCTCTTCCCTCCAACACAGGCGAAATGTTGTTGAGGTCAAAATACAAACAGCCGAATGAGCCTTCCCGTACTTTGTTTGGACCTTAGCATTTCGCGCTACCTCGTACTCCGCCAAGGATAGTATCCCCATTTTTGGGCCAAATAGAGAGCTGCTTTAAAAGCAAAAATCCGAAGGAATGAAATTTAAAACTTACCATAGCCGTCAGTTAATCGGTTTTTCCTTGGCTCGCGAAAAGCAAAGCGACCCTCAGTAAGGGCCAACTATAGAATATCCAAGTTCCGCAAGTATTCGTATGTTTAATTTTAAAAGTCGATTTTGCAAACATTTGTTTTTAGCAGCCCTTCATCAGGCTGACACATTTGCAGTGATAATAAAAATTGTGGAGTCGGACAGGGTTAATGTGTGAATTTTTACTACAAGTCATTCTTATCACGCCGCCCACATGACGAGATCGGCGTGGAGAGGTCCTTGTGCTGGGAGAGGGGGGGAGGGGAGGTAATTGGGCTAGACCGTGGGCATTGGTCAAGGGTCAGGTACATGGAGTGATAATTACTGTCATTTGCACGAAGCGAACGACCGTCAGTAGAGGCTGGGGGCGATACGCAATCGCCACCTGGCGTCAGGGTCGGTCACGGAAGGGAAAGGGCTTGAGCATCTTCTGACAACACAGCACTGGATTCGTTAGCCGTATGGCCATTGCTTCCACTGTTGCAAGCACCTGTTTACGTAAGCCCTTGGAAAGGTTAGCTGGTGTCCGGAAGACGACTTAAAACGCCTCAGTAAGAGCAGAGAGTTTGTGAAGAACGCGCTTAAGTTCGCCGAGGGAAAGTGCTTGCGATCACAGTCTTCAGGCGTCGTATGACCAGTTCGCTTGCTGCAGCGCCCAAGTATGGTGGTCTTATGAAAACGTTTTTTTCTTTCCTGTGGTAAAGGTAGCGGGAGAACAGATCCGTCGTACTCTTACCCCTAATTGGAAGGTAAAGACTGACCCCCGTTGAAAGTCACATCCATGTGCATTGACACTTGCACTTGCTCCTGTGGAGCAGGATATATCCGCCGAACGAGAAGCCTGGAAAAGAGAGTTTGTAACTACATACCTGCCTGGTTAAAATGTGAAACCAGATCGATCTCGAGTTCTGTTCTCGCACATCTGGTCGATACGAATCATCCAGTTGATACTAACGAAGCCTTTCAGGTTGTCTACCGGATACCAGCTAACTTTTCCAAGGGCCTACGCCAACAGGTGCCTGCAACATTGGAAGCAATTGCCATACGGCTAATGAATCCAGTGTTGTGTTGTCAGAAGACGCTGACACAAGCCTTTTCCCTTCCGTGGCCGACCCCGACGCCATATTGCGATCGCATATGGCCCCCAGCCTCTACTGACGGTCGTTCGCTTCGTGCAATTGACAGTAATTTTCACTCCATGTACCTGACCCCTGACCAATACCCACGGTCTAACCCAATTTCTTCACCCCCCCTATCCCAGGGCAAGGGCCTCTACACGCCGATCTCGCCATGCGGGCGGCGTGAAAATGATGACTTGTAATAAAAGTACACTTATTAACCTTGTCCAACTATAAAATTTTCATTATCCCTGCAAATTTATCGGCCTGATGTAGAGTTGCTGAAAACATATGTTCAACATATCGACGTTTTGAACCTTTGGAATAATCAGACATTGGTTTAACGGAAAAGGAATCACTGCCAAGACGCGGTAACAGTAAGAATTTTTGGAAGGTTGAATTCTGTCGAATCAAATGCTCTCCTTTAGGTCCCCACAGAATGCGATAATCCGCTGTAATGTGTCGTGCTCGATACATCGGCAGCTAATGCACCTGATCACTAATTAATCTGAAAATTAAAAATGTATATATTGCTGACAAATAAATATCTTGTAAACCGGCTGCAACGCTGACGAAGGGTGACAGGATGACCACGTAAAGTTAGCTGTATAATTTTGGTTTCATATGGCTAATCAACCTATTGATGCCCATTGCTAGTTCTACCTGCAAATACTTTGGAGCACATCCTTGTATTATTAACGAAGGCCAATTTTTCACCACATATCCAAAACGTGTTACTCCAACTCGGCCTCTCTTTCATAGCGGCATGGTTACCTACGGCCTGAGGGAAATAATTAGAACAGGAGTTGGCCCGAAAAGTGCCCCTAACGGGCAGATAAAGTGATTGCAGAAATAAGATTCTATTTTTTAACAAATATCACCAGTTTCAAGAGGAAGACTTGGAGATGATACAAATAAAGTAGTTCGACGTTGCCGGAAGATGGGAAGGAGAAATCTGCCGAATACGTCAACAAGTGAAAATAAATTCATGCACTTTCAAGATAACTGCAGGAAAATAAAAGTTCCAAATGATGGAAAATATAGGTGCATTTTCAACGTATCGGGCGTTCAGCTGTGTGTCCTGTTTGTTCGCGTTTTCCATGTCTACTCCAAATCACACGCATTCAGGACAGTAGAAGTTGCTATCTTTGATGCAAAACTGTTTTCCGGCCAAACAGCCCTGACATCTATGGCATATGAAGCACTCTTTGTGGTAAGCCTGCTCGTTGTATGTCATGTACTGTTCGTCGGGTGGAATTGCCTTTCCGCACTTCTAAAAGCCGAAATACAAGTTTACGCTTACTTCAGTTAATTTCGATATGGTCACATAATAAAGGCGTGTTTAATGAGGGTTATGAAATTGGTAGTTATCATGCTAACCTGAAGCTATATGTACTAACAAAAATAAAGGATAAGAGATACTTAAATTGACTTAATACGAATATTCATTCCGGAACAAGGGTTAAGTTAGCAAAAATAAGCTTCAAATTGAGGTTTTCGCGAAGGATGTGGAAGCTTCATCCACTTCTTTAGGTCTTTTATCATGGCTGTCAATAGTGAGTTTGCTAAGGTAGTGCAGTTCCAAATATTAAGTTCATAATATCGATAGGCTTTAGCGATGTGGTCAGAATCGCTTTATAAGTGGAGGAGCCAAAGGCAGATAAACGAAAATATTACTAGCAATCGTATTAAAATAAGATTTTGGGTACCACTAGCCTCAGCGTTTGGTCAAGTGCCCAACTAAAGTTCCGTATACGAAGGCTGGTGTTATAAAATCGACACCCACTGGACGTCTTGGCTACAAAAATCCTGGTGTGTGCTGCTGCTCTGGCAACAAATCATGATCAAGGTTGTTTGCTTCATACGAGTCCTCCGTGCGTTCCCCGGGTTATTGTGCGGCCAATCATCGGCCGATGGACAAACAGCTTTGGTATGCGCTTGAGCACAAGTCAATGTTTGAATGGTAACTCAAGTACCAGTACTTTTGGTGTTTAGCTTTCCGAAGCAAGGCACTCCAGTTATGATCATCAGAGCCCCTAGAGTCATTGCTCAATCGCATCCTAATAAGAAAGGCAAGTTTATGACGATTTTTCCTTCTGGACTGTATAGAAAAAGATCATATCTGACCTGACCAGTCCTACAACAGAGGCATTGTATTCAATAAACGACGAGTAGCTGGGTTTTTCGTGTTACCGTCGGGCTCGATTTGATGGGAAGGGGCTGCTTCGAGTTTCACGGAGAGTACTTGTATGTTCTCAAAAGTAATCTCCGCAAACGGTAGAAATGTAAATAATTGACTGAGAACGCTCACATTCATAAAGATCTGTCCAGTTTTCTAACAGTTTATAATGGATTCGGATAAATCCATAACACTTAACAGCGAACATTTTATCTGTCGATATGTTTCCTTTTTGGTTTTTGACGTCAAACTCCTTTAGACAAACACGCCTGAACTTTGAGCAGCTAAACACTGCCTCCAGCATATTCGTGTATATTAAGGCTACTCGCCTCCTCTTGGCTGGTAAGAGGTTCGTCGCAGTCGACGT